CAATGCACAATCATTAATCAACACCAAGCCTATATCTCAACAGTCTCCAATCTTCTGAAGCATAACAAACAAGTTCTTACATGGTGAACAAGTCCTTACATAGTGAATAAGTTCTTACATGGTGAACAGTGCAAGGGCAGTCATATCACAGAAACTTTCAGTTTTGATCACACATCACGAACTATAAACAGTCAAGTCAGATATGATTATTCATTTGATTTTTATACTTGATTTATATGTGAATCCCACATTTCTCCCTTATTTTATTATTATTACTTTTTTAATAAAATGCTGAAGTGGTAGGTAGATGCAAGATAAAGATAGAAAACATAATTTAGTGCTGTAAGAGGACAAATGTAGATGATCAGGTCTGAGCCTATGGACTAAGTATTAATCCAAGCTAGACAAGGGCAAAATGTTACCTTTTTTTAGTATTTTTCACCAATCTGCAAAAATGCAGATGGGGCTTACACAAAAAGATCTAGACAAGTTAAAAAATAAAACAAAACTTATAAAAAAAAAAAAAGAACAAAGACAAGAAAAATAGCTAGTAAAAAGAATCTTGCTTAAAGAAAGCTACTATCCATTAGCCAGTTTTAGATCTGGACTCAACAGCCTACACAAGAGAAATTACTTACCTAGTGCTTATTTGTCTAACAAAGGTGTTTACTGAGAGAGATACTTACCTTTTTCCAAAGCTGCTTAAAGATATTGTTACTGATAACAAGTCATTTTTTTGAAAGAAAACTTAGGGAAAAAGAACCAAGAAAAAATACAGTCAGAGAGTGTAACAGCTCCACCAATTGGAATAGGAATTAGAAAAAAATTCATTTCAATCAGCTATGGAAGCAGGGAACACATAAACATTTGATCATATGGAATAATTTTACCCTGAATATTAAAAATGAGTATTATTAGCATTAACAAGTTAAGAGTAGAATGTGTACTCTTCCTTTCCTAAAGAAGAGTGCAAAAATTATAAAAGCAGAGGAAAAACACTTACCATATTTCGCTGCACTAAGTTATCTATGTCTCGCTTTACTATGTGAAGGTGCTCTTTGATGTCATTGAAGTGCTGGGTTGTCTCATAAACTCCCCCTGCAGATCCAGGATGCTGTATGCCACTGACCAGTCTGATAGTGTCACTCATGGAATTCCTGAAATAGAAATTCCCTTTAGATGATGGAATCATAACAGAGATTATATTTTTCAGGCACGTATTTCAAATGATTAGATACATTTCTAAGCCCAAGACAGATCATAAGAAAAGATAAATTGTGTGAAAATCAGTATTATAAATGAATAACATAATGGATGACAGTCCTAATGAACTTACATCTTTCTAAATGGTTAGTGTCGTGCAAGGATTATTTCATCATGCGTGGGCTGACCAAATCCTGCACATGGCAAAGGTGAATTTTCAGGCCTGGCTCTTGACCAGCCCCTGGGAGGTAACCTCTAAGCCCTTGGAATATCCTTCCTGGTAAGTGTGTCTGTGACTGCCTGCGGGCCTTGGGCCATGCCAGATAGTTTATTCTAACAATGTGATTCATATTTGTTTGCCTGGGGCCTTATGCCGCTCAGTTTGACATCCAAAAGGGACTGCAGACTGAGTAGTTCAGTCACAGTGGTGCTCCGTGTCTGTGTGCCTGACCCCTGTATCCCAACACAAAGGCTGGGGGAGCTTCCTTGGTTGACAACACTTTGCCCATGACGTCACATCACTGTTGGGAGGAATAAGTACTGTTTGTGTGACTGTACTGAGAGAGACAACTGGAAGCCTGTGCCTAGTTTCTCCTGGACTCCACCTGAGGCACGATTTTTGGGGGCTGATTTTACTTTATATCCTTCCCTCTTCACAAGCTGTGAGTACTTCTAGTAAATTATAGAACTTAGGGGTGCTTTTGGAGACCTCTAAGACAAATGCAATTCTGTCTATGTCTCCCTGAAGTCCTATTAGGAAGCCTCTATATACAAACCTAGTGCTTCAACTAGAACCCAATTAAAAGTATTACCTGTCTGTCTCAAATCTGAAGGTAAAAACTGGTTGTTTGATGTAATGAGCTGATGGCATGGCCGTCTCCAATGTGGTCTCTTTTTGAATGGTAATTTAAACCTTATGCAACACTTTACCTTACACACTGACTTCATATAATCTCCACGTAAGATGTGATTCCACCATTCAGATGTAAGATAAAGAACTCTACCACTGAGTGGGACCTATGGTTATGCATCTGAAAGCATGACAGTAAGAGACTTGCACTTGTTTTCCACTAATCAGGGCTATTATTTATATAATGAAAGAAAAAGAACATTTATGATTTTTGAGCTACCTGAAAATGCCAGGTTAGTTTACCTAAAGTACTTAAAAGCTCATGTTATTAACATTCATATTATGATATATCTTCAAGTGTGGGGATCTTTTCATGAAGTAGATAAAATAAGACTGGACTGGCAAAATGTTTCCAGCTGTTGAAGCAGAGGTCCAACTATACTGATGGAAATGCAGAGGTTCAATATACTAATCTCTCTACCTTTGTGTATATTTGAAAATGGCCAGGCTTTAAAAATCCTTCCTTCTTCTCTCTGCAGCTCATCTTTCTAACTCTGTTTCCTACTACTCCCCTTTGGCTGTCTTGGCTCCTGCCATTCCCTGCAAAAACCCTTTGCTTTAAGCCTTCCTATCTGTAATGGTGTTTCTAGTTCTGACCCCTCCACTCAAGACAGGACTAAAATGGAAAAGCCCAGTTCAAATGGCTGCCTTTCTTCTATATTTTCCTTCCCCTGACCCTTCCCTGCCAAATGCAACTACTCTCCCCCACCCGCCCCCCTCCCACTCATACTTTTCTCCCTTGAATCTGTACAAATGGATTATCTCCCTCCTAGAGCATGCTGCCCCAAGTACAGGGATCATGTCTCTGATTTCCTGACACTGCCTTCAAGTTATAGTTCAATTGGGATGAATGAATAAATACATTATCTAACTAATTTCCTTGGAGTAAACTTTAATTTAGAAAGTAAAAGCTTTGCTGGAAGAAAACAAAAAAGAGCAACTCAAATCACAGAATTACTTAGTACACGCCACGCTAAAGGTTAAGTACAGTAAGTTTTAAGAAATTATATTTGAGTTACAAGAGCAATGAACACTTTAAAACTTTTTACAAACTATCTCAAGTGTTTTCTGAATAAATGGCATGTATTGATTAAAATTTCTTTTAATGGGCATACATGCTCAAGAAATTCATGTGTGAATGTACACTCTTCTATTAAAACCCAAACTAAGGATTATATTTTAATATACCTAAAATACCAGAACAAAGCATCCCAGAATATACAGCTTTCTCACATATCTGCATTGAAGAACACTGCTTCCCAGAAGCATCATCTTGCTTCCACATGAATGTCTTTTTGATATATAAAGATGTCTCACTTATAGTGATCCTAGTTCAATCATTCAATTGCCTTTTGATTCTGCTAACATTTATTTGGTACATGTTATGAGACAGGCAATGTTTAGGTGTAGAAACTGTAAGAGAAACATAATTCCTGCCTCGCTGAGACTGACAGTCTACCAGGAGAGCAATGTGACAGAAGCACATCTAGAGTTCCACAAAGAAAGACACATTTAACTTAGCTAAGCACCCGGAACTGAGTGTTAAAGGATAAGGAGTGTTCTGTGGGGATGAGACTGTGGTGAGTGGAAGGTCTCTTTCGCTTAGCGAACAGGTCAAGTGAAAAGCAGGCTGGATAAAACCACACAGAAAAACACCTGTGAAAGTATGATGTAAGTAAAAGGAACAAGTGAAGAAAGCTAAATGGAAGCAGAGAGGCCACAGAGCACCAAGAGTTGAGTGGTATGCCGAGGTCTTGAAAGGGAAATGTCTCAAGATAGAAGGAGTGATACCAAGTGTCAGCTGCTACAGCAAGTCCAGTCCGACAAGGACTGAAAGGTGTCCACTACTAGAGTTCCAGTGACTGCACGGAGAACACTGCAGAGCTGTGACAGCACATCACAGTGGTTTGGAAGCAGAGGCAAATGGGTTGGTTTACTCTTTTTTGGAAGACGTAGCACTAAGGGATATGCTAAATGTAGAAGACAGAGAGAGGATACTCACAGAGTTAAGAGTCAGAAATAGAAAGAATGGGATCCAGAGCTAAGGACTGGCCTGGATTATGGACTGTGTGGACGGAGACAAGAGGGGGAGGAAGGGTGGAGCACAGAAGAGATGGAGGAGGCAAGGTCATCTCCCAGGAAGAGCTTCAGGGGTGGGCTGGGCTATGTGGCTCGGCTTGAGGACAGTAGGGACTGTCTTGAATGAGACAATGTGATGATCAGGAATAAATGAAGATTGCTAAGCAGCCTAAGTATTACATTATAGGGACAGGTAAGGTAAGGTAAAGAAGAGGGTAAGGGCAAGGTCCCCAAAGAACATGGGAGAATATTGATGTGAAAATGCCTACTGCAGCACCTAGAACACAACAGGCATTCAATAAATTAGTAAAGGTACACATGAAATGCTCAACACTGCCTACTCACCAAAAGAGCATTTACACTTTGGATCCAACATTTGAAAAAATATAATCAAGTAACAAATGACACAAGCCAACACGTACAAATGTAAAGCTCAAAAAAATTTGTAATTCTGCTTGCTGAAAAGGCCTAGAAGCAATGACAATTCAGTAGCAATGAACATTAGACTGCCTACAAATACCATTTCTTACTAAAAGACCAGGGCTCCGAAGAAAAATGCCTTCTGCCACAGATGGGACAGAAACGCACAAGAGAAACCTGGAAGTCTTACACCGTGAAAGGAAGGAGGCTACCGAACACCACTGGAATTGTGTCAAGAAGATGCAGAAACTAACCAGCAGGGGCTGTTAGTGGCCAAAGATGAGACGATTGTAACACTCATGGATCAAAAGAGCAAAATACGTTAAAATCCCTGAGTTGAAAAAAAATTACCTCTCTCTACCTCATCGTTTAACCCTGGAGACTGCCAGGGCGCCAACTCATTATTCTGAAAAATGGTTAAAAGGCAAGAAACAAGTATCTATTCTGCCTTTCCTGGACTATTTCAGGATAGCAAACAAGTGGTAGGAGAAATTCTCCTTTTTATACGGAGAGAGAATTTTAGAAGGAGAGCGTGTCACTCTTCTTCAACCTCTGATGAGATGACGGGTTTAGGCTGGGGCCGTCGCTGGCTATTACGGCTTAGAGGGGTCAATGAGGCACTTCATAATGAAGGCTCAGGCTGCTGCTCGGTTATTAATAACTAAACTGGGGGTGGGGAGATGGGGAGGGCTCTTAGAGTATTCTCGACTTTTTTGTATGTTTGGGAATTTCTATAATAAGAATAAAAATTCAGTCTTTATGGTATGCTATAAATAACATTTAGAAGTGAGATAATGAAAAGTACTCCTGACTCTTCATATTATCATCTTTTATCATTTAGGACCTTTTTTTTCTTTTTTCTGTAAAGCAAAGGGGATTGAACTACATGCTTCTGCCAAAAAAATTCTATGATTCCATAAGAATGTGAAAATCCATGAAGACACAAACCATCCCTTCCATAAAAGGCAAATATTTCCTGTTTGCAGTTTTTCTAAAGCTTAATCTGAAGAAAAAGCTCTAGAGGACAAACTCAGAAATTTGAGTCCAATTTTTACACGAACTTTACAACATTCATCAATTAGTAAGCGAGAGTTTACAAGGACTGCTAACGACCCTAAGTAAATGCTTTCATGGATAGTACAATTCGATGGCTAAGATATACAAACAACAAATTGAATCTAAAAATGTTCTGGTACTACTCTGAAGTGAAACAAGCAAAGCACAAAAGACTATCTGAGGTACGCTACCACTCGCGTAAGAAAGAGGGGATCTAAGAAAATATGCATGTGTAGAATATAGGAAGAGCCAATGAGAAACTAATGAGATGGGTTAAACAGGGACTGGGTGGGAAAGGGCTAGAGAGAGGGGAGAATAGAATGGGATAGCTGTGACAAAAAGGCAGAGCTACGTCAATGAGTACACACCCACACATCTTGGTAATCAGAACCATGGTATTCACATACCCTTCATATATACCCAAAATACAAACCACTAAAACATAAGAGGATGCAGGAGGAATACAAACACTGACCAAGAACCTAACTGTTTTAAAAATGAGTATCATAATTATACTGACGTAGGAAAAGAACTAAACTAAGTAACTATCTGGAAAATAGTGTCTGGACTAGACACTGTTAAGGCTAGAGGCAAAAGGAACTTTACATAATCTGTCAGTAGCCCTCAAAGGGATATGGGTCAACCATCTCAAACCACTTTATGTGCAAACTAAAACTGAGCCAATAAATAAATACATTATAGAGAGAAAGAACCAGGTTTCTCCCTCTTGGAGAAAGAATTTTATTAACAGGGAAGGGAAGAAGGCTAAAAATCAATCCCATGGTGTTTCGTCTGGTCCAACTGGAATTCAAAGTATCCAAAATCTCTTGTTTTTTAATGCAAATGTACACTGATGTACACACAATATATAGATATATATGTGTGTTAGTACACATTCACATATGCTCTAAGCTCTGCCCACTAAGAGAGCCTAGAAGCAATGGTACTCCAGTAATAATGAGCACACCTAGGGGCCAGATCTTGGTTTCTAAATACCTTTCTCCAGTGAAAGGACTCAGGGCTCACTGGAGAAGTGACTGATTCTAGAGCTGGGTCAGAAAAAAATACAAAATGAGCCTGAAAGAGAGTGTCGTGCCAGAAAGCAAAGAAATGCTTGGAAAAAAAGTGGGGCCTGTTGAAAGAACACAGAAGCCAACCTGGAGAAGCTCCCAATGACAGATCTGGAATTATAAGCAACACAGTAAGTAAGATTGCACTAGACTGTAACCCACTGAATAAATATCCATGAGTCCATACTGATATATAATTGATTAAATAAATAAATGTGAGAAAAGAAGTAGCTGATCCTTACAGAATTCCAATACATAAATATAGGAAGAATGACAAAAAAAAAAGAAAAATCAGCATTTAGTACATATCACGTTCTTGTTTAAGACATCAGTGGATGCCCATATTAAGGAGCAGAAGTTTAAAGTGAAATAGGTATTTACATAGTCTCAAAGTATTTTTCTCAAGATATTAACTGCTAAAGAAAATATAGTAATTTTAAAGTAGAGAAACCAGGAAGAAACCACCATAACCAAGTGACTGCCAGCCAATGTACTGGCAGCAAGACACATCAACATCCTGAACGTGATACACTGTATACTCTTGTCAAGAATGCAAAATTCTGTCCAATCATAAGTAAACACCCTATGGAATCAAATTGAGGGATAATGGACCAGATAACTGCTGGAAATTGTCATAGTCAAGAACAAAGAAAGATGCACTATTTCAAACTGCAAAAGTCTAAAGAGAAGTAACTATATGCAATGTGCAGCCCTGGATAGGATTCTAGAACAGGAAAACAGGCACTGGTGGAAAACTGGTGAAATCTGAATAAGATCATTAGTTTAGTTAATAGTACAACACCAGTGTCAATTTCCTGATTTCCACCACTATACTACCGTTACGTAAGATGTTACCGTTAGAGGAAAATGGATAAGGGATATAAGGAAACTGTACTATTTCTGCAACATCTGAAGTCTAAAATTAGATCAAAATGTTTTTTGAAATAATGCTATATGATCCAGTCTATTTCTAAAAGAATTTATTCATTTAGGATCACAAATATTTCAGTCATGAGTTTACAACTTGAAGATATTTAAAAATGTCAAAGACTATTACTGAAAGAAATACAAATTTGCAGTTACAAGCTGGGTTGCCTTTAATCCCCAGGTATTAGATACTATCACCTTCTGCTTAATCTAATCCTGTTTAATTTTCCAGTTGTAAAGAACTCACGTTTACATTCTTGTTTCTCATGGGTTGTACTGGCTGGGGCAGTACTCTAAAGTATTAGTTTATGAAATGTGACATTTTGGCTGATTCTCTGCCCCTGGGACTGAAAGCTGTTCATTATCTGCATAACTGACCTCTTTTTAGTAACTTATCCTTCAATGTTCCCAGGGCACAGTACCTCTTCTATGCTCCAACTCTTTGTCCAGTCTCTCTTACGATACAAGATAGAATAAAAAAGAGGTAGTCAAACATAGCATATTTCCTTTAAAATAGTTTCATTCCATGAGAAAGAAAAGTTCCTGCATCAGGTATGTTTGTAGCACAGTCCTAAATGCTGGTGCATGTTTATTCCTTATTATTTTTCATGGAATTGTTATTTATTACACATATCCTTTTTATATTTGAGAAAAGAATGAGTACTCCTGGCTGTCAAGTAACCATGACAAACTTTTTTTTTAATGTGAAGTATTTTTTTCTTTTCTGTCTCAGAACAATTAAAAAAAATTTAGACACATTTGCAGTTTCTAAGTATCAGAAGTTCCTGTACTTTACATTTCCCTACTTATAACGTGAATCTAGAATGTGATTCTTAGCCTCAAGAGGAATCTTATAAATAATAACGTGTTTGCATACCTAGAGAAGTCATGAATTTAGGATACGGCTATCACATAAAACCAGATATTACTTTTGTACACTTACTTTACTTCATTTACTTGTCTCAGAATTTCATGCTGTGTGTTCACAACAGTATCCAGTTCTTGTTGAGTGATCTGGAGGAAAAGCAAAAGGTCAACTGTCAGCTCAATAACCCCCATTCTACAGGAATACACAACAGAGCAGCTGCTTTTTTCTACTTCTCTTTCACAAAAGGCTAAGTAAGGTGTATCTGTATGTTGAAAGCTCACCTGTCCATGCTGCCCTGGGACTCCTGCTCCTCTCTTGGGTATCTCCTCTGTCAAAGAAGAGACGTATCTTCTCTGTTCATCAAGAATCATATCTAATTGTCGGTTCAGCTGCTTGATTTCAAGATGAATACGATTCTGTCCTTCAAAGATTTGTCTCAGCTCACGATCTCCTACACTCTCAAATATGTCATCTGCTGAAATGGATAGTACAAATTAAAATTATTAGAATCACCTCCAATATAGTTTTCAAAACATCAAGGGTGTCCAAAGTACCAACATACACTAAAATAAGAATATCGTCACCAAGACAGTGGCCATGCTCTCTCCAACAGCAAGCACACAGATGACTCACCTAATCAGGACTAAATCACTGTTTGTTTTTTGTCATATCTGGTGGTTGACCAATTACTACAAGTTAGGTCTGAATTTTTTTTCACCTAAAAGTCATTTTCTCTTTCAAATATACTGTGTGATTGTATTTATATGAACAGGCAGAACTCTCTATGTTACTACACATCAGAAAAGTGGTTGCCTCTGTGGAAGGCCTTCTGACTTTAAACAGGCGTGAGCAAACTTTCTGGGGTGATAAAAATACTCCATGTACTGATCTGATACTTAAATTGGTATACACATTTGCCAAAACTCATCAAACTATATGTTTAAAATCTATACATTTTACTTCTGTAAAAGATTAAGAAATGGAGTGGAGAAGAGCTGACTTTCCTTCTATACTTGACCATGCTGAAAATAGATCGTTTCATTCAAACTTTACTACAATAACCTTCAGGATATACTCACAAATCATACGTGATGTTTAAAAGAAATCCAAGAAAAGAATGAAATTTATCTTTCATTTTTATCTCAAGTCTGAATCACACTGTTGATGATTTGAGAATTACATACAACATACACAGTTCAAAAGCTATCCATGAGCTTTATTAAAAACAGCATTGGTCATTTGTGTAGATAGGGAACAACTTGGATAATAGAAGTCAACAGATAATATAGTCACTCTATTTGGTCTTAACATGTTTCATTTTTGACATGTACCACACTTAAGTTCTTAATTACATTGCTCAGACAAATATTTTTAAATTTTCAACCCTTTAAGTCCAGAATTCTGTTGAGTAGTAAGAGAAAGAAAGCCAGATAATCACTTCATAGTACTCTCACAATAGTTTTGATAGTTTTAAGTATTACCTCTAAATCAGTAAGTGTGCTACTAAAAGGGAAGAAATAGATCTTGGATGGTTTCATTCAGTTATTTATTGAATCTCAATTACTAGGTCAGCACTGTTGTTTTTAGGTTTAAGGGACACAGCAGCAAACACAACAAACAAAATCCCTGTCCTCACAGAGCTCACATGCCAGGGCTTCGCTGTTCATGCACATCACAGTGGTACTCCTCTGCCCTCTCCACTAAGCCACACTCTAACTGGTAGAAACACCAATCCCTAAGCCCTGTAAGACTGAAGATTTGCTCATAAATTGTTTCCAGAAATTACTTGGAATGTGCCAATAAGAGAGTGAGGCTGAGATGAATGCACGTGCCAGCTGACACACAAGTATCCCCGTAGCTCTTAAGACAGCTCCGCCACAACTTACCAGGATGCCCTTGAAGGTCAGGGTGGTCCTTCTGGAATTCTTCTTTTTTCTTATCCAACTCTTGTTGAAAGTGCTCAAATTCCTCCTGATACTTCTCTTTTTCTTTTTCTGAAATTTCTTTATCTGGTACAGGCTTTTTTGGAGTTTTAAGAACAGATTGTTTTTTAAAAAATTAATAATAAACCTCAATATGTTATTTTTCTCATTTTAACTAGTCTACCACTAGCTGAAAGGTGAACATAGAAAAGTGATTTCTTATTTAAATTGTAGCCAATTTACTCTTGTTACTAATAATTGCAAAAATAATAATAGTCTCTACCATTTACTGAGTGCTTGCTAGAAGAGCTTTGTCCTAGTTAATGCTCACGATGTCATGAGGTGGCCAGTGCAGAAACGGGGCATTACAGAGGTTAAGTAACTTGCACAAGATTATATGGCAGTAACTGGCAGAAACAAGATCTAAACCTAAGGCAAGTCCCTCTTTCCAATTCTTCAGCTATAAGGCAAAACCACTAAACTGAGAACAGATTTTCTGAAAACATGGGTACACTTACCGGCTCTTTCCCAGGCTCAGTCAATTGGAAAGTCAGAAAAGAAAGGACATCATGGTCATCTACAAATTAAATAAATAAAATTGAAAAAGCCCCACAATTATTTTTATGGCTGTCTATTTACTTCACAGATATCTATTGCTTTAAAAAAAATAATCAGTAAGGAAGATAATAAATATTATCTCTGGTAAAGGCAATGGAGTTCTGTGAGCTTAGAGACAAAAATTTACCTGAAAGATTTACATTAAAAATAAGCTCAAACTCACTTTACTCCTAAACCCGAACATTTAACAGTTTTAACATATTAATAGATGCTTAATAAGTGTCTGATAAGGGAATTAATAAAAAATGTGGGGTCAAAACAAGACCAAAGTACTAATCTTGGTACCAAGATCCCCCATATTTTCCCACAAGTCTCCTTCATGGACTATGTCCCAGTGAAATGAGACAAAATTCTGGCCATGTATTTCCTGTGCCTACCTGAGTCTAAACCTTTTTACAGCACTTACCACTTCTACTTCTTGCCTTACTTTCTATTACAAACATGACACTGCCCTGTCCTGCCTTCCTGGGACAGCCTGATTTATCCATGTTTATCCTGGCATTACTTATAGCATCTCCTCTTACTCTCAAAGCATTCTGACTTAGATAAGATGGTTATCTATATGTCATTCTTATTTTTTCCCTCACACAGTGCATATTAGTGATTTTGTCTAAAATCATAAAAAAATTAAAAATTTTAAAATTAAAATTTAATTTGATTAAAATTAATTTCAAGATGTTTAAGCTGAAAACAGCACTTAACAGACCATACCTCATAATATCGAAATATAAATACCAATTCTGGCTAGTCACATCCACAAAGCAAAAGCAATTAATTTTAACTCTGTAGCAATCTTTATGCTTTCTGCCACTGCTATGGAGACCTAGATTTGTAGCCAGATTAAAGAGAAAACTGCAATACTTCAGTGTAAGTTAAGCAACTTTAGGAGTCATTGTGTTATAATAGGGTACTCAGCCCAGGAGTCAGAAATCTAAACCAAGTCCTGCCTGGGTCTAACCATTACTGGCCATGTGATCTTTAGAAAGTCCTTCAATCCAAGCTTTTGGCAAACTCTTCTAAAAATAGGGTAAATATGATCTGTCCTCTCTCCCTCCTTCTGTGGTGGTTGTAAAAGAACAATTATTATATTTGAAAAAAAAATTATACAATGTACTACATAAACACAAGATGGTATTAATGTTGAATAAGCAAGTTCACTTTTCACCACATGTGGAAAAAGAAAGGTAAATATATCTTTTTTATACTTTAGTTCCCAATATTTCCCCAGGCTACCAAATTCAACTAAATGTGCTGTGACAACTCTCGGATCCTAAAACACTTGGCAATTAACCTTTTATAATCTCAACTTTAAATGTCTCCTTCACTTTAAAACAGCATCCAAACTGATGCCCTAATTTACTAACTGCATTGCAGCCCAGCCAACTGTGTACCCGTGGAATATAAGAAGAGAACTGGCAGTCCAAGAGACAATGCACTGGTACCGCAGACTATGGGAAAGTTAAAACTAGTCTTAAGAGATTAATTAAAAGTACACAAGTCCGCACATCTCCAAAATATGCTATTCCCAATAAAACTCAATTTAGAAACATATAACTTACTAAAAATAGCAAGATTTACCTGCAAGACCTCCAGTTGCAGCAGATATTCCAAAATGCCCCTGTGCAGGGACAATCATATTTTCCACTTTGGCACAAAATTCATAATCATTCTTATCTGGTGTGAAGCCATTATTGATCATTACCTAGAAAGACACACTGTAGCTGCAGCTCTTACAACAGACATTGTCAAATGAACTTCAAACAATTTATGACTAAAACTATTTGATGTTTATATTTGGTCTAATAACCAACTGTCAAAAAACTATCGGCCTTCTCTTATTATTATAAAGGGCATCCTTTGTCTATTAGATGACCTAATTTGGTATCATATAACAAGATGTCTCACTTAAGAAAATGATTTTTGTACTACTATGAAGCAAAGGTTTAAAGAGAAAAATCTGATAACTTTCCATGAAAATCTTCCTGAAGTAGAATTTGGTTCACCTTTTCTTAAGGAGTCTCACTCAGTCTCTTTGAATGTTTCTTAAAGAGAAGAGGGATCAGACTTGTTCTCAAACCCCAGTAACAAAGCTGATACAAATGGGTTGAATTTACAGTTCTTTCTGTAGATAGTTGAGAACTGAACAGACTGCCTTAGCAGTGAGCTCCTCTTCATTAAAATCAGGGGATAACTGGCCTAAGTTAACAGAGAGACAGCAGAAGTGACATATTATATAGACAAAAATGGAAGAAAAATGACAAAGCTAGAAAGACACCTAAGTTCCTAATCTACAGAATGTATTCTTGAATTAATGACCCTAAATATCTTAAAAGATTCCTGGAATTCTAAAAAGCCCAAGAAAATCCACCTGACACATGAATACTCCTCTCATGACCCCAATCAGCCAGTGGTCTAGCCTCTTCAATTCCCTTCAATTCTTCAACCCAGTCTCTAGAGCACCGTCATCCCTGGCCCCAATACCACCACCAAAAAGAGCCGCTGACATAGAGAGGAAGCAAGGAGTAGGTACAGGGCACCAGAGGAAGGGCATGCCTATCTTCACTGCCAGGTGCAAAGCTTTGTTAGTCTTAGTTAAGTCACACAGGTAAAATGTTACAGTACTCGGTCCCAATTTTTGGCAAGTGGAAAAAGATACCTGTCAATATGAAAGGTTAATCTCTATATAAAGGAGGATGGAAATGTGAACTTGTAATGATTTTTTTACATCACCTGCCATTTAGTTGACTAACAATATTTGCTTCCTCTGATCAGTAAGTCTTTTAATCTTGAGTTCTAATTTTAAAAAAAAGATGTAATATATTCCTTATACTATGAGTTTGAAGGGAAGCTTGGACTCTGACTGTACAGGTACAATACACCCACTGACCAATACTAGTAACAATTCTTCATGAGATCACTGATAACATTCCTCACTCATAGTTTCAACTCATTAACTTGCCATATTAAAATCTCGTTTTGACTAGGTTTTGTCCACTGATAGCATTTCTTGCTCCCTTTGTTTTTACCCAAAGTTCAAACTGGACAAGCTAAGGATGTAGGTACTAATTTAATAAACATATCTGAGTACCTAAAATGGCAGAACATTAGGGCCATGAGGAATATAGGAAATAATGCCTGCACTGAGAAGTTTACAATCATATTGCTGAGGAAAGACATACAAACCATAGTGAACTGACAATTCAAGTCAATGTATTTTAAAGGTCAAATAAGCATTAAAGAAAAAAACACTCAGCTTTGGAGAGACAAATCATTATGAGGTGATGTTTGGGACATCTGGTAGAAAAGGGTCTCCCAAGAATGTACACGACTCTGCCAGGTGGAGAGCCAGGGGTGGGCATTACAGGAGAGGACAATAGCCTGAGCAAACACAAAGGCTAGAACCATTAGGTCCCGGCCAAGTGTCCTGGCAAGTCTAAAATACGTTCTTCAGAACACTAGCTCCATAGACACTCAGAGATACTAAGTGGAGAAAGAATTCTATGGTCAAGTAAGCCTGAACATGGAGCTCAGCATTTATTTATTTTAGGACTTCCCAGAATCTTTCACATGCTAATATGCAGTTGCCCAACCTCAACTGATTATAGAACTTTGGGGGTACATTTTGCAAGACTTCTTCTTTGGGGAACTGCTGGTCATTGGACTGCAGGACTGTTCTGAGGACTGCATTGGGTCGTGCAGGCAGCCTCCCTGCAACTTATGAACTCGAGTGTGTGTCTGCACCTACCACGGCTGGTGACTGGGTTCTGCCACGTGAAGCATGACCTATTGATTACCCTCAGGAAACTGTATGGGATGTGTAACAATCGCAGTGGAACTCAAATCCAAGTCAATCGTAATAGACAGCACTTTTTCTCTATTCTGAGATCTCTAAGTTAGTTTGGAATTTAAGACAGAGCATATACAAAGTTTTCCAAAGAACTGCCTTTTTCAGTTTTTTTTTATATACAGAAAGTGCAAGCCTAGCTCATTATTTAGGGGAAAGAAAAATTTATACAAGGTATTTTTTACTTATCAGTATTATGTAAGTCTTTAAAAAGCAAAGTTCACACAGTATTAGTGACCTTAGTTATCACAACTGCCAGCTAGATATATCCACCTAAATACTACCCTCAGTTCGTCTGCAAGTAAGCTCATTGAAAACCCTCTGCCTTCCCACTCCTCCCTCAAAGACAAACGTGCTGCTTTTGGCTAGTTCTACCACCACAGCAGTGTAACTCGCCAGAATTTCAGGAGCTATCTGACTCCAGAACTGTGTTTACCTTCCCTTCCCCAAGCCAACTCATTTGCTATACGAGTCCCGTTGTCTCTACCTCCTAATCTTCTCTCCTCTACCTTAATTCAGACCACAAGTAGAGTCTTACCATCAACACAGTGCATGGTTCAAATCACAGTTTTGTTACTTACTTGGTATGATATTGTCCAAGTTACTTAAAATCTCCTATCTTCAATTTTCTTATATATAAAAGGGGACACCCACCCCTAATATCTTAATTTAAATGCTTTTAATATCTATCAAAGACTCAGAATGAAAAGTTACACTAGAATATTGTTCATTTCATTATTTCTAAATGCATATTACTTACTGTCAATGTTTTCTGGTAATATATAATCTTTGCCCGGACAGGATAGGGTTTATTACGAAAGTCCCTCTGGCAACTTGCTAAAGCTTGACTAGAACCATCACTGGTATGAGGGAAAGGAAAACAAACAAGAAACTTAAGGACGCTTTTCAATATTTAAATGACTTTTAAAATGATTAAAGAAAATTTTAATTACTATTTAAAATGATTAATGTCCAGAAAGATTAAAATAATAAGTTATGACAGAGTTTGGGATATTTGAAGTTATTTATTCAGAAGACACAATGTTGACACGTGAGTTTTTCCTTGACTTCTGTCAGGACTCTGGGTAACATCAGGGGCCAATATTACCATGTGCGGACAGCAAAGGGAAAGGTATCCACTTCTAGGACACTAGGGCACAAGTCCTTTAGCTGAGGGCAGATCCCATCAGGATCGGGTACGAGGCTTTTAAAAACACAGAGGCCTAGATCCCACCCTAAATCAACGGAAGCAGAATCACAAGGAAAAGGCCGTGGCACATCTATTTTAAATAGCTCCAAAGATAGTCATTATGAACTATCAAGGTTAAAAATCACTAAGGTAGTAAACAGTAAATAGGAGTGTGGACAGGTAATTTTTCTTAGAGTTCAGTGACTGGTAAACATGTAAAAATTAAAAATGTACATACTAATTCAAACATTTTAAATACACTGAGCACTCAGAAAACAGAAATTACTTGGAATGTGCCAATAAGAGAGTGAGGCTGAGATGAATGCACGTGCCAGCTGACACACAAGTATCCCCGTAGCTCTTAAGACAGCTCCACCACAACTTACCAGGATGCCCTTGAAGGTCAGGGTGGTCCTTCTGGAATTCTTCTTTTTTCTTATCCAACTCTTGTTGAAAGTGCTCAAATTCCTCCTGATACTTCTCTTTTTCTTTTTCTGAAATTTCTTTATCTGGTACAGGCTTTTTTGGAGTTTTAAGAACAGATTGTTTTTTAAAAAATTAATAATAAACCTCAATATGTTATTTTTCTCATTTTAACTAGTCTACCACTAGCTGAAAGGTGAACATAGAAAAGTGATTTCTTATTTAAATTGTAGCCAATTTACTCTTGTTACTAATAATTGCAAAAATAATAATAGTCTCTACCATTTAATGAGTGCTTGCTAGAAGAGCTTTGTCCTAGTTAATGCTCACGATGTCATGAGGTGGCCAGTGCAGAAACGGGGCATTACAGAGGTTAAGTAACTTGCACAAGATTATATGGCAGTAACTGGCAGAAACAAGATCTAAACCTAAGGCAAGTCCCTCTTTCCAATTCTTCAGCTATAAGGCAAAACCACTAAACTGAGAACAGATTTTCTGAAAACATGGGTACACTTACCGGCTCTTTCCCAGGCTCAGTCAATTGGAAAGTCAAAAAAGAAAGGACATCATGGTCATCTACAAATTAAATAAATAAAATTAAAAAAGCCCCACAATTATTTTTATGGCTGTGTATTTACTTCACAGATATCTATTGCTTTAAAAAAAATAATCAGTAAGGAAGATAATAAATATTATCTCTGGTAAAGGCAATGGAGTTCTGTGAGCTTAGAGACAAAAATTTACCTGAAAGATTTACATTAAAAATAAGCTCAAACTCACTTTACTCCTAAACCCGAACATTTAACAGTTTTAACATATTAATAGATGCTTAATAAGTGTCTGATAAGGGAATTAATAAAAAATGTGGGGTCAAAACAAGACCAAAGTACTAATCTTGGTACCAAGATACCCCCATATTTTCCCACAAGTCTCCTTCATGGACTATGTCCCAGTGAAATGAGACAAAATTCTGGCCATGTATTTCCTGTGCCTACCTGAGTCTAAACCTTTTTACAGCACTTACCACTTCTACTTCTTGCCTTACTTTCTATTACAAACATGACACTGCCCTGTCCTGCCTTCCTGGGACAGCCTGATTTATCCATGTTTATCCTGGCATTACTTATAGCATCTCCTCTTACTCTCAAAGCATTCTGACTTAGATAAGATGGTTATCTATATGTCATTCTTATTTTTTCCCTCACACAGTGCATATTAGTGATTTTGTCTAAAATCATAAAAAAATTAAAAATTTTAAAATTAAAATTTAATTTGATTAAAATTAATTTCAAGATGTTTAAGCTGAAAACAGCACTTAACAGACCATACCTCATAATATCGAAATATAAATACCAATTCTGGCTAGTCACATCCACAAAGCAAAAGCAATTAATTTTAACTCTGTAGCAATCTTTATGCTTTCTGCCACTGCTATGGAGACCTAGATTTGTAGCCAGATTAAAGAGAAAACTGCAATACTTCAGTGTAAGTTAAGCAACTTTAGGAGTCATTGTGTTATAATAGGGTACTCAGCCCAGGAGTCAGAAATCTAAACCAAGTCCTGCCTGGGTCTAACCATTACTGGCCATGTGATCTTTAGACAGTCCTTCAATCCAAGCTTTTGGCAAACTCTTCTAAAAATAGGGTAAATATGATCTGTCCTCTCTCCCTCCTTCTGTGGTGGTTGTAAAAGAACAATTATTATATTTGAAAAAAAAATTATACAATGTACTACATAAACACAAGATGGTATTAATGTTGAATAAGCAAGTTCACTTTTCACCACATGTGGAAAAAGAAAGGTAAATATATCTTTTTTATACTTTAGTTCCCAATATTTCCCCAGGCTACCAAATTCAACTAAATGTGCTGTGACAACTCTCGGATCCTAAAACACTTGGCAATTAACCTTTTATAATCTCAACTTTAAATGTCTCCTTCACTTTAAAACAGCATCCAAACTGATGCCCTAATTTACTAACTGCATTGCAGCCCAGCCAACTGTGTACCCGTGGAATATAAGAAGAGAACTGGCAGTCCAAGAGACAATGCACTGGTACCGCAGACTATGGGAAAGTTAAAACTAGTCTTAAGAGATTAATTAAAAGTACACAAGTCCGCACATCTCCAAAATATGCTATTCCCAATAAAACTCAATTTAGAAACATATAACTTACTAAAAATAGCAAGATTTACCTGCAAGACCTCCAGTTGCAGCAGATATTCCAAAATGCCCCTGTGCAGGGACAATCATATTTTCCACTTTGGCACAAAATTCATAATCATTCTTATCTGGTGTGAAGCCATTATTGATCATTACCTAGAAAGACACACTGTAGCTGCAGCTCTTACAACAGACATTGTCAAATGAACTTCAAACAATTTATGACTAAAACTATTTGATGTTTATATTTGGTCTAATAACCAACTGTCAAAAAACTATCGGCCTTCTCTTATTATTATAAAGGGCATCCTTTGTCTATTAGATGACCTAATTTGGTATCATATAACAAGATGTCTCACTTAAGAAAATGATTTTTGTACTACTATGAAGCAAAGGTTTAAAGAGAAAAATCTGATAACTTTCCATGAAAATCTTCCTGAAGTAGAATTTGGTTCACCTTTTCTTAAGGAGTCTCACTCAGTCTCTTTGAATGTTTCTTAAAGAGAAGAGGGATCAGACTTGTTCTCAAATCCCAGTAACAAAGCTGATACAAATGGGTTGAATTTACAGTTCTTTCTGTAGATAGTTGAGAACTGAACAGACTGCCTTAGCAGTGAGCTCCTCTTCATTAAAATCAGGGGATAACTGGCCTAAGTTAACAGAGAGACAGCAGAAGTGACATATTATATAGACAAAAATGGAAGAAAAATGACAAAGCTAGAAAGACACCTAAGTTCCTAATCTACAGAATGTATTCTTGAATTAATGACCCTAAATATCTTAAAAGATTCCTGGAATTCTAAAAAGCCCAAGAAAATCCACCTGACACATGAATACTCCTCTCATGACCCCAATCAGCCAGTGGTCTAGCCTCTTCAATTCCCTTCAATTCTTCAACCCAGTCTCTAGAGCACCGTCATCCCTGGCCCCAATACCACCACCAAAAAGAGCCGCTGACATAGAGAGGAAGCAAGGAGTAGGTACAGGGCACCAGAGGAAGGGCATGCCTATCTTCACTGCCAGGTGCAAAGCTTTGTTAGTCTTAGTTAAGTCACACAGGTAAAATGTTACAGTACTCGGTCCCAATTTTTGGCAAGTGGAAAAAGATACCTGTCAATATGAAAGGTTAATCTCTATATAAAGGAGGATGGAAATGTGAACTTGTAATGATTTTTTTACATCACCTGCCATTTAGTTGACTAACAATATTTGCTTCCTCTGATCAGTAAGTCTTTTAATCTTGAGTTCTAATTTTAAAAAAAAGATGTAATATATTCCTTATACTATGAGTTTGAAGGGAAGCTTGGACTCTGACTGTACAGGTACAATACACCCACTGACCAATACTAGTAACAATTCTTCATGAGATCACTGATAACATTCCTCACTCATAGTTTCAACTCATTAACTTGCCATATTAAAATCTCGTTTTGACTAGGTTTTGTCCACTGATAGCATTTCTTGCTCCCTTTGTTTTTACCCAAAGTTCAAACTGGACAAGCTAAGGATGTAGGTACTAATTTAATAAACATATCTGAGTACCTAAAATGGCAGAACATTAGGGCCATGAGGAATATAGGAAATAATGCCTGCACTGAGAAGTTTACAATCATATTGCTGAGGAAAGACATACAAACCATAGTGAACTGACAATTCAAGTCAATGTATTTTAAAGGTCAAATAAGCATTAAAGAAAAAAACACTCAGCTTTGGAGAGACAAATCATTATGAGGTGATGTTTGGGACATCTGGTAGAAAAGGGTCTCCCAAGAATGTACACGACTCTGCCAGGTGGAGAGCCAGGGGTGGGCATTACAGGAGAGGACAATAGCCTGAGCAAACACAAAGGCTAGAACCATTAGGTCCCGGCCAAGTGTCCTGGCAAGTCTAAAATACGTTCTTCAGAACACTAGCTCCATAGACACTCAGAGATACTAAGTGGAGAAAGAATTCTATGGTCAAGTAAGCCTGAACATGGAGCTCAGCATTTATTTATTTTAGGACTTCCCAGAATCTTTCACATGCTAATATGCAGTTGCCCAACCTCAACTGATTATAGAACTTTGGGGGTACATTTTGCAAGACTTCTTCTTTGGGGAACTGCTGGTCATTGGACTGCAGGACTGTTCTGAGGACTGCATTGGGTCGTGCAGGCAGCCTCCCTGCAACTTATGAACTCGAGTGTGTGTCTGCACCTACCACGGCTGGTGACTGGGTTCTGCCACGTGAAGCATGACTTATTGATTACCCTCAGGAAACTGTATGGGATGTGTAACAATCGCAGTGGAACTCAAATCCAAGTCAATCGTAATAGACAGCACTTTTTCTCTATTCTGAGATCTCTAAGTTAGTTTGGAATTTAAGACAGAGCATATACAAAGTTTTCCAAAGAACTGCCTTTTTCAGTTTTTTTTTATATACAGAAAGTGCAAGCCTAGCTCATTATTTAGGGGAAAGAAAAATTTATACAAGGTATTTTTTACTTATCAGTATTATGTAAGTCTTTAAAAAGCAAAGTTCACACAGTATTAGTGACCTTAGTTATCACAACTGCCAGCTAGATATATCCACCTAAATACTACCCTCAGTTCGTCTGCAAGTAAGCTCATTGAAAACCCTCTGCCTTCCCACTCCTCCCTCAAAGACAAACGTGCTGCTTTTGGCTAGTTCTACCACCACAGCAGTGTAACTCGCCAGAATTTCAGGAGCTATCTGACTCCAGAACTGTGTTTACCTTCCCTTCCCCAAGCCAACTCATTTGCTATACGAGTCCCGTTGTCTCTACCTCCTAATCTTCTCTCCTCTACCTTAATTCAGACCACAAGTAGAGTCTTACCATCAACACAGTGCAGGGTTCAAATCACAGTTTTGTTACTTACTTGGTATGATATTGTCCAAGTTACTTAAAATCTCCTATCTTCAATTTTCTTATATATAAAAGGGGACACCCACCCCTAATATCTTAATTTAAATGCTTTTAATATCTATCAAAGACTCAGAATGAAAAGTTACACTAGAATATTGTTCATTTCATTATTTCTAAATGCATATTACTTACTGTCAATGTTTTCTGGTAATATATAATCTTTGCCCGGACAGGATAGGGTTTATTACGAAAGTCCCTCTGGCAACTTGCTAAAGCTTGACTAGAACCATCACTGGTATGAGGGAAAGGAAAACAAACAAGAAACTTAAGGACGCTTTTCAATATTTAAATGACTTTTAAAATGATTAAAGAAATTTTTAATTACTATTTAAAATGATTAATGTCCAGAAAGATTAAAATAATAACAAGTTATGACAGAGTTTGGGATATTTGAAGTTATTTATTCAGAAGACACAATGTTGACACATGAGTTTTTCCTTGACTTCTGTCAGGACTCTGGGTAACATCAGGGGCCAATATTACCATGTGCGGACAGCAAAGGGAAAGGTATCCACTTCTAGGACACTAGGGCACAAGTCCTTTAGCTGAGGGCAGATCCCATCAGGATCGGGTACGAGGCTTTTAAAAACACAGAGGCCTAGATCCCACCCTAAATCAACGGAAGCAGAATCACAAGGAAAAGGCCGTGGCACATCTATTTTAAATAGCTCCACAGATAGTCATTATGAACTATCAAGGTTAAAAATCACTAAGGTAGTAAACAGTAAATAGGAGTGTGGACAGGTAATTTTTCTTAGAGTTCAGTGACTGGTAAACATGTAAAAATTAAAAATGTACATACTAATTCAAACATTTTAAATACACTGAGCACTCAGAAACTTTGTAGCCCACTGAGAATCTTTAAATAAAGCAATAATAAGGTTGCATAAGGAGGCATAAAATAGTTAGCCATTAGGTTAGCCAAGGCTTTGAACTTTATATTTGAAATATTCCTTTTACTAAGATGAAAAAACATGACTGGTGGCATCACTAAGAGCCAGGAATATTTTATAAACCTTTCAAAGAATTACATAATTTTAGGTTAAATGAAACAACACATTTTTGTGTTTGAAATTGGAGATGGTCCACAGAAAGAACTATAACACAGAAACAAATGAAAAGTTCTATGAAGTTACAAAATACATCTCAAGAAAAAGAATAATCTTAGTTCATCTGGAAAATGTTCAGATTTGAAACAATATATTTTATAAAGTTTCCAGAAAGAATCTGAAATCAGGAATAATGTAAAAAACACACACTTACTTTTGATGGTCATAATGGATCTGTCCATTGTTGCCTATAATTACTATAGCAGGATTGTTTTTCTAAAAATAAAGAGAATGTGTTTAAGGTCCTTAGACCAAAGAATTACAGATCATTCTGGATGTGCTGTAAGATCTCTTACATCTCTAAAATTCTAGAACTCAAAATTATAAAGTATTAGCTATCCACTTAATTAGGAAGCATTTAGTAAACTTACAATTAGTCAAAAACAGTCGCTTAATAACATGTCAGTAAAGACTGATGATTGCCCTGTCTGAATAATCAACCTCAAAACACGTTTGAGGATACACTGTGACATGGGACTTGAGCCTGGTAACAGGAGGAGTAACTGGTCTCAGTGTTCAAGAAGTTATTAAAAGTTCTCCTTTAATTGCTAATAATGACCTTCAATAATCAGTAGAGAAACCAGCAGCAGAAACAAAGAACATCAATCTTAAGGTTGCTGAAGCACAAGTTAACGTTTCCAATTTGTAACTTTTTACTCTCAACTGTTTTAGGAGAGATCATCAGAGAAACTGGCTGATCAGAGAGTGATTAACATATGAAAAGATTATTATGTCATTCAACAGTAGTAATGTGCAGGGGTATTTTCATGAAAATAAAATGCAACAGTCTTCTAAACACTGCTGGTTTCACTATCAACATCTAAATGGCTCATGCTTATCCATCAAAACCAAGCACATATAAGGAGCTTACAAAGTTCTCAGTTAGGGATCCATTACAACCTCAAGTTGGTGTATGACAAATCACAACGTCATAACTTTAAATTTATAAATTCCCAGCTATATAAAGACTAATCATCATACTTAAAATACAGTTTGGAGAATTCTCTACTATTAAACTGACAAGAGTGTTAAATAAGCTATATTTCTCATAGCCTAACTTTGTTAGCAGATATATAAAGTGGGTAACAGTCCTGAAAACAAATATACCTTTCCATCATTGTCAAAAGAATCGAAAAATATTCCGACACCATTCCACATATCAGCTGATCCAAACACAGGACCTTCCAAGCCTTGATTTTCTGTATACCACACTGCCTGTAAACATGTAACGAGAAACACTTAGAGGCTGGTAGATATATGTATTTACATACATTTTCTAAGTTAAAGTAATTATACCAGGCCATCGGCTCCAATTCGACCTCTTCCAGTCACTCGAAATGTCACCTCAACTTCCCAGTTCGCAAAGGCTGCTTTTGTCTTTGTCCACACCGATCCCCTTTGGCTTTTTAAAGATGGTGCTATTCGAATTTGATCTGAACTTGGAATAGCATCTAGAACAAAAAGGAAAGAAGAAAAGCTTTAAGGTATAATTAGCTAAACTCACTGAATCATCACCAAGCTGTTGCATATACCTACAGAGATCTAATTTTAACACTGTAACCTGTAAAATTTTGTTAGGAAAAATTTTATGTTGACAATTCAACATCTAAATTTTAGAGTTTTCTAACATTCCCCTCGTTACCTTTGAATTGTAAAATATTTCTGCAAAAAAAAAAATAAACCTACAACCATACACTAAAAATTCAAAGGGCAAGAGGAAGGAAATAATGGCTTAAAAAGCCAACCAACGATTTGATTCTCATAATATTATTTTTCAAATACCTCAAACATTTGCATATTATTTTTTAAAAGCTGCAATGTATTTCATCAGTTCAAATATTAGAAAGCTCAAACAGTGTGAAAAGAACATACCACTAGGAATCAAGAGACTTATTCCTAGTCTCAGTTCAGCTGTGTGACTGAGCAAATAATTCTCTTACTCTCTTGGGTTCACCATATGTTCACCTGTAAAATGAAGGGGCTGATTCAATCACTTCCATAAACACCCCAAAAGTTATATGTAAACGTTTGTGCATCTATATTTCCCTTCTAGGGAGAAGATCAACCGAATTTCAAGTCAATGAACAGTTCTTCAGTGCCAGCGACTCTCAGGGAGAACAGTGATTGCCCCACATGCTTTGCATTTCCAAGTTAGGTTCAAGTCCTGGCTCCACCACTTACTGGCTGTTTAATTGTAGACAAGTGGCTCCATTTCTCCAATGACCTCACTGGCATGTAAGTTCCTCTTTTAGTGCACAAACAATTCAATAAATGTTAGCTATTCCTATTATTGGACTAGATGATCACTAAAGCACCCAACAGGCCTTAAATATGAACAATTTTAGATAGTAATTCAGATACCAGTCAATTCTGACATCCATGCTGGGAAATAACCTGTACTGTCTCTTTAAAGGTAGGAAAATCTAACAGAAACACAAGTTGAGATGCTTTGGTAAACTGCCATTGTCATGATCACTTTCAAACACTTAAAAGTTGGGGGCAGGCATCATGGAAAGAGTACTGGATATAGAGTCAGAAGACCTGGATATGAGTTCTATTCTACAGACACTAACTATGTAACCTTTTCCAAGGACTTTACCCTTTCTGAGTATCAGGGTTTGTTTTTTTCATTTTTTCTGTAAAACAGTTAACAACTGCCTTGCCTACTAAGGATCCAATCAAAGAAAGAAGCTGGAAGAGCTCTGAGAGCCACAAAGGGTTATAAATTATCACTTTTTGTCCTTATGGACCCAAGGATGTGTACTGACAGTACAATAGGACAGTAGGGTTAAGAAACAGAAACACCGTCTGGTCTTAATTTGGGGATGAATGTAAAGGGCCATATTTAAACTCAATCTTAAATTGTTTTAAGCTATGGATCTCAAGGCAAATGAAAAGAGAAAAATGACCAATGTAGTTAAGAAAACAGTGAGACTGTACAAACTACAGTGATAATTAAAGCAAGGGCCATGCACAGCACTCATTTCCAGGGTCAGGAGGTAGAAAAGTCATGGCTGAAATACCATCCCTTCATTTCAAATCCACTTGCCATACACCTTAAATTCACCATGGTACATTATCTGACATTTCAGCAGCAGATGAACTTAGTTGGTAATTGACTCTGTAAACCAAGTCAAGGTAACTAACTTGAGTAGTGGATTAACATTCCTAATTGGGATGACGTTTGTGCTGTTAGAGGTGTGAGGAGGATCGGCAAGCAACGGGAGAGATGGAGAAATGAAAAAATGTGAAGAAATTCACCATTACTGAAAAATTCATCATCCTTCCAAAAAGAGAAAAACACAAAAACGTGTGTTTGGTATATTCTACATTATCTTTGTGTATAAAAAACGTTACTTGGTAACAAATGCCCTGCAATATACCCTTGATGGGAGAGCACATAATAAACGTCTGGTGAGAAACAAAATAACTGTACTCTACTTCAAATAATGACTTGGTCATTAAGTCAAATTGAAACCTATACCTTTTAGTTAAACATTAATTTCAGTAAAACGGGCCCTTCCTAAAAGTGTTTCTTCATTCTGATTCAGTACTTTCTAGGAATGAAACATTTTGTTTCAAGCATTGGACAATTTTAAGTGATGTCTAGAAACCTCATATAAATGACTGCTTAATTACATTTAAAGATGGAATACAAATTGCTAAAGCTTGTCTCTCCCTACAAAGGCACATGCCACTTGTTTCAAAGGGATCATCTGATGGTCACTGAACAGAGGTTACATCATGCCAAGTGCTCTGGCTGATTCCTTAGTCAACAGTGACACATCAGCACTAAAGTACAGATATATATTTTTTAAACATATGTCAATGTCTAGCATGGCTCTCGATCTACTAACTTCACCAAACGGAGTGAATAAAACATGAAGCACAGGTTATTTAAATTTTCTCAAGAAACAAAAAACAAAAATCCAAAAATGGCTGTAGATACAATGCTATTTTTAGTCTCAAGTTCTGAAACAATCAAAAAAATACATCCCTTTTCTACTAAAAAAAGGGACGAGTGTGACTACTGTAAAGTTACGTGTTAACACAAAAGATCAAAGCCCACACCCACGTCACTGAGAGGCAAATCGAAGGTGTAGTTCCACAAGTGTAGGAAGGTCCCCCTGACCAGAGTCTGAAACATTACTCTAATAACCAACACATGCCATCTCTGGAGCCGTCAGGGGCCATAGTGTGCAAAGTGGAGCATTAACCGCTGCTGACACCGGACAAAAGAGAGCAGGGGAGGACCCAAGAGAAGCGGGAAAGGAGGTAGTGGGCTGCCAGGACAGGTGTCAGGGTGGGATGGTTGAGACTGCAGTACGTTTCCCTTGGGGACGTGGCGTTAGGGTGAAACCTGATGCCTAGGAGCGAGTTAAAGTGTGCTTGGAAGTGCAGGAAGTAACCAAACACCTCGATATTAAACGGAAACAACGAGACGAGATTAAAGAAGGGAGGACAGGAGTGAGGGGGTGGGCAAAATGGGGGGAAAGCCTAGGAGGCGGCGGAGAGAACCCTGCAGACCCGAGGGGACCTGCTGAAAAGGGTCCCCTCTAACGCGTGTACGGTGTGCAGCAAGGAGAAGAGGAGGAGGAGGAGGAGGCGCAAGGCGCGGAGGGGACCCGGGCCCCCCGCCCCGGTCCCGGCTTACTCCCCGCATGGGCCCAGAATGGCACGGTCCCGTCGCTCTGCACCAGGTGCGGCCCCTTGAAGCTGTATTTGTACTCGAAACGGCGATGCGCCGGCGAGGCGGGGGTGCCTGCGGCGCCAGCGGCCGCGGGGTCGCCTCCCACGCTGTCACTCCCGACGAGGCGACTGAACGACAGCAGCAGAGCGCAGAAAAGCGGCTGAACTCTGGCCTGGGGACCCCGCTGCCTGGATCCCGCCATCTTGGATTCTGGGAAGCGGAGGCCGGCGGGAGGGGGAGGGGCGCGGGAGTCGCGGACGGCCAACAGGGCGCTCGCTGATTGGTGGAACCGGAGAGACCCTGGGGTAAGGGTGAGCGTCGCCCCGGCCTCCGCTCCCCGGGCGGACCGTAAGCGCGGTGGGCGGGGCCACACGAGGGGGCGGGGCCTGGAGGCGGTGCGGTGGGCGGGTTCATCCTGTCCCACGGGGGCCGGAATGGCGCGAGCGTTCCCTCCCACCCGACCAGAGTGTTGGAGGAGGACCCAGTGCCTTTCCCGTGCCTGTTAGCAGACGGGAGAGGCGGACTTCGTGAGTCCAGCACCTGTAGACGCACCTCGCCAGTTCTCCCGGGCTATAATAAACCTTTCCCGGGATTAGAAGAAAGGCGTTCCTTGTGAAGTGATACCGATTATTCAACAGCTGGTTTACATTAGGTAGACTTTTGCAGAAACAAATTTTGACGGAAACAACGCATAAATCACAAATACCACTAGTCCTAACCCACTAAGATACACCAGCGTGTGCTAGGGCATTTCACTTTGGGAACCAGCAATCCACAAGGTTGTAGAGCCCTTGGATGTTTTGTGGGTGTTGAGTCAGGGGTTTCTATGTATTTGTCACTCAATCTTAACTCTTTTCAAAATTTAATTCCAGGAGCTTTCCAAATTTTGAAATCATAGCAATTCGTTTCGGTAAGAAGATTATGTGCTACCGACAAAGGTAGCAATAGAGCCTGGATACGGGCATACCTTGTTTTATTGTGCTTTGCTTTGTTTCCTAGATGATGCATTTTTTACAGATTGAAGTTTAGGGCAACCTTGTGTTGAGAAAATCTATTGGTGCCATTTTCCCAACAGAAATTTGTTCACTTGTGTCTCTGTGTTACATTTCGGTAATTCTCGCAATATTTCAAACTTTTTCCTTGTATTTGTCGTGGTGAGCTGCGATCAATGATTATAATTTGGTGAAAGCTTGGATGATGGTTAGCATTTTTTAGCAATGAAGTATTTTTTAATTTAGGTATGTGCCTTTTTTAGGCATAATGCTATTGCATACTTAATACACTGCAGTATAGTGATAGCATAACATTTATATGCACTGGAAAACCAAAAAATTCACTGGACTCGCTTTATTGCAGTGCTCTTGAATGGAACTCACAATATCTCCGAGGTATCCCTTGGCTTTTGACTCAACAGATGTTTTTCATTTTAAAGGGGAATCTTCTTTCCCTTATTTAGAAAAAGTATTGTCAAAATATTCATGGTCATCTAGAGTTTTTGTTTTTCATAAATGTGATAAATGTGTCTTACGATGAGTTCTTTCTTAAACCTGAGAGTGAGCAGTGTGATTTAAACAGTTTATTTCATTAGCTGTGTACATATGGGCCATGAGCACACCCTAGCTGTAGGGACTATAAATCCATATTATTTTAACTTATTTTCAATTACCTCCCAACTTAATCATTTTATCTTTTTCAGTTCTTTCATCTCTGTGGGAACCAACTCTATGCCTTGCACAGAGTAAAGAATTAATACATATTTGTTAAAGAAACATTAATGTTAATAATAATGATAAACACTTACTGAGTGCCACCTATATGCCAGAAACTGCACTAAGCCCTTGACATGTATTAGCTTATTGAATGCCTACAGCAGCCTGCTAAGGTAGGTGCCATTATTAGCTTCCCCATTTTTCAGATGAGAAAACAGGCATAGAATCGTTAAGTAATTTGCCCAATGTCACACAGTAAGTGGCTGAGATGGGTTTCAGCTCCAGGCATTCTATCACTAAAGCCCTCGATCTTAAGAACCATTCTGTATTAAATAAGTACAGTGAATATTTTCAATTTATTACCCATGGTTTCAACTCCTCATGAGAGACCTGAATTTCAAGTACAAGTAATAATTGGTAATTTTGCTGAACATAAATATAAATCCTTCTTTTGTGAGGCAGTTTCTTTAAAAAAATTATTGAAACACAATATAAATACAGAAAAGTACCCAAGCCGTATAATACAGCCCAATGAATTCTTCACAAAATAAACACAACCCATGTAACCCTGCAGGCAGATAAAAAAGATGGAACACATTTCTCTTGGGTATATAGCTGGGTTTAAGAGTTGCCGGTAGATCCTGCCGATCAGTTTTTCAGAGTGGTTGTACTACTTAACATCTCTGCTGTGTATGAGAGCTCCAGCTGCCTGACTTCTTTCTAATTAATACAAGTTCTTTATTCTGGATATCAGTCCTTGGGTGTTGTGAATATTTCCTAGCATTCTGTGGGATAAGTTTTCACTCTCAATACTATCTTTAAATGAACAGAAGTTTGTAATTTCAATATAGCTCAATTTAGTACTTGTTTCCCCTTTATGGTTAGGGCTTAGTGTCCTCTTTGGGAAATCTTTGCCTATTCCAAGGTCACAAGAATGTTTTCCTCAGAAACTTATTGTTTTACCTTTTACATTTAAATCTGCAATGTGTGTAAATTGATTTTCTGTGCAATATGAGGAAGACACCAAGATACTCTTTTTTCTCTGTATGGTCAGTTGACGCAGCATCATTTACTGAAAATGATGGATGAAGCGAAAGGATGGTTCCTTTCTTCAATGCTCTGAAATGTCATCTTTTTCATAAACCAGGTGACAGATATGTTCAGGTCTCTCTGAACTCTTCATTCAATTCCATAGGGTCATTTTATCTATTCTTGGACATATACACTTCACCATCTGAACTACTAAAGCATTATAAAGGCTACGATATCTGATACTGTAAACCTGCCAGTCTATTCCTTTTCTTCAAAACTGCCTAGGCTATTTGTGGCTGTTTCTTGTTCATATGAATTTTAGGATCAGCTTGTCACCTTCTAGGGGGGAAAAAATCTGCTGACACTGAGATTGGGATCGCATGAAATCTATAGGTCCACTGAGTAGAAAACAACATCTTTGTATAACTGAGTGTTCTGATATATGAGTATGATAGAGCCTCTATTTATCTGGGTTCTCTTTAAAATTTCTCAGTAATGTTTTGTACTTTTCCATGTATATATTTTTAGATCTATCCCTAGGTACTTGATTTTTTATGCTAATACAAATTATTTCTTTTTGGTTATTTTTATTTGTTGCTGGCATATGGAAATGCACTTGATTTTTAAAATAATATTGATATTTATATCCAGCAGTCTTGTTACATTCATATGGAAGAGCCACAGGCCAAACTAACCAAGACTATTTTGAAAAACAAGAACAAGGAGGAAGGATTTATTTCTGTTAGATTGTTCTGTTGACACTACTACCTAATTATTATAATTAAAAAAAAATGAACACAGGGTGTATTGGCACAGGACTAAATAGTTTAACAGATCAGAATAAAGTCAATAAACACACACATATATGGATCATTGATATTTTGTACTACAAATCATTAGAAAAATGCTGGACAATTCAATAAATTGTGTTGGAAAAATTGGCCATTCATTTGAAGAAAATAAAATACATCCTTCTCTTCCAATTTCCATATTGAATTCCAGATGTTAAAGATCTATATGTGAAAAAGTAAAATTATAGCTTTTAGAAGAAAATATAAGTGGATATATTTATGACTTTAGCAGAGGAAAACATTTCTTTCAAATAAACTCTAGAAGCCCAACTCATAAAGAGGAATGATAGGTATGTTTACATACTGTAAATTCACAAAAAAACTGATTTTCAACAAAAGATACTCTAAACAAAGTGGAAATAAATAGCACATACAATAATATAATTTAAATGCATAAATCCAGCAAGGGATTAATATCCAGAACACAGAAAGAACTCATTGAAATCAATAAGACACAGCATACAGCCCAGTATAAAAAAAAGAACGAAATAGACAAAGGGCTAAAACAGGCCATATGAGTTGCCAAAAAATACATGTAAAGATGTTTATCCTAAGTAATGTGAATTAAATAAGAAAAACTCAAATTGCAACAATGGGATACCATTTCCTAGCCATCAGACTAGTAAAAATGTAAAAGTATGATGTCATCAAATATTGGCTAGTATAGAGAGAAATGAGAACTCAAGCACTGCCTATGGAATTGCAAGTGATCCTGAGGCAGGGCAGGGACATGGGACAAGCATCTTGAGTAAATTTTCCTGCCAATAATGAAAAATGCTGAGATCCAAATAGTATACTAAGAACAGGAGGGACTTCATCTTAAGGCTAAGATTCCATTTTAAAAACCAGAGTTAGGAGGTGAGATTCCTAACATATTCTATGGTAAGCAGTCAGGACAAGCAGTCCTAAATGATATGTTCCCACTGCTTTAGGGTAATCACTATCTTGGAGAGAAACAGAACCAAGAAATTCCTTGTGTTAAGTTTATCTTACAGAATATCTAGAAGACAGACTATGGATGGTGACTTAATGTCTCTCATCAGAGATAAACATCATGAGACCACATGTCAGTTCTATGCCCCCCATGCCCTTTGCCCCATTCTTGAAAGGCATAAAAGACAGAACCCTAAGCCCTTAAGCCCACCTCCTCTCTGAGGTTGCCTGCACTCCCCTTTCTTCTAGTGTGTGCTTTGCCTTAAATAACGACTTCTTGCTGCTCAATTTACTGCATTTTGTCTCTGCTCCTCGAGTGGTAAGCATCTTTGTTACTTCTCTATTTTATTCTATTTTCTACACTTAAGCACAAGTTTTCACTCTCTCTGTTCTACTTCAGACAAGTAGGGAAATGCTACTGAGATCTCTGATTTGAGGTTCCAAGTTCCCATCACCTGGGTGACCTGGACAGTATTGAGGCTGTACAATCATGATCTTTGGTAGCCTGCCTAAAAGTCTTCTTTCTTTGCCTTTGGGAAGTTCTCAGAACATAATCTCACTCCATCTAGTGCTCTGTAGCTTCCCCAAATCCTGGGGTTGTAGGGGCTTAGTTCCCATGCTGTACAGATCAAGCAGACACTGAATGCCAGGTAACTCTGGCTGCAGGAGTTGGCAAGGGATCTGCCCTATGTTGAGCAGGAGTTCAGTGAGCTTCCCTTTCCCCTCTCTGTTCTTCCTTGCTCTCTGTTGCCTGCTCAGCTACTGCCATTCACCGCTACTCTCACTTTTAATGAATTCC